CAATTATAGCCAGTTTCTTTCTTTATTAAGCGCTGAATTCTATGTCATCATCTGTTGAAAGTTGGCGAATTACTGGTCGAAATTTAATCAAGTTTATCTTTTGAAATTAACTTACTTCTTCATATTATCGTGAAGCAGTTACACTATTATCAATTAGACAAGACATTTAGTGTCGAACTTTTTTCTATTGAGAAAAAAATAAAATAAATGTTTATGCAAATAGTTTTTATATGTGGATGAATCTTTCAAAGTTGCCAGAATTTTACGACAAAGATACATAAAAAAGAAGGAAAATCGACCATTTCGGATTTATCAAAAAATAAATATTTTTTAAAGTGAAAAAAATAACAACATTTCAACAAATATTCACCATTTTAGACTGGAACTATTACCATGTTTTCAGTTGCATTGGAATACAAAATAATTCCAAGAATTGCTTGAATTTTTAATTTTCCAGATTGAAAAAAAAAAAAAAAAAAAAAAAAAAAAAAAAACAAACAAAAACAAGCAAACTGCATTTGAGATTTCCTCAACGGAAAACAAACAAACGTTCTCATTTTTTTTAATACGAAGAAAATCAAACAAAAATGTAACTCTGTGTATATGCACTTATTTGACCGTTTAATCTTGAATGATCTCAAAAATCGTGGAAACAACGCTATTGCCAGACAGACACTCATTGTGGTTAAGTGGAATGCAATTTTTGGTCACTATGTGATAATATGCTCAGTAAATCCAGGTGGAGATTAGAAATGTTGTTTGCATTTAAGTGGAAAAGATTACGGGGAAAGGTGGTCAGAAATTGTAAAATTGCGATAAGACGAAAAAAATGATAACTAATAGAAAGAAATTAGAGGAAAAAAGGAGACATTTAAAGAAAAAAAGCAGTGGAAGAGAGAGAGAGAGAGAGAGAGAGAGAGAAAGAGAGAGAGAGAGAGAGGAAAAGACTAGAAAGAATAATAGTAAGTTGTATTCACTAATTAGGCGGAGTAAGTGAGCAGGTATCAAGTAAAAGAGGAGAAATCGACAGAGAGAGTGGGGGAGTGAATTTGAAGAAAGAAATGAAAAATTAATAGAGGAAATATAAATTGACAGAGATAGAAAGACGTTGACATGCAAAAGAGAAAGAAAGAGAAAACCTCAAAGATAAAAAAAAAGAAATAAGTTAACATAGAATAGAGAGAGAAAAAGAAGAGGGGGAGATAAAAAGAGAGAATAAAACGGGTGGCAGGAATATAAAAAAGAAAAGCTTTAAAAGAAATTAAAATAAATCCTGTTGGAGGAATTAAGCGACGTACTCGAAAATTGAAGTTTATAAACTTGTTATGTCGAACTCCTACTACCAAGCACTATTGATTGTTTGAAAATCTTGAATTGATCAGTCTCACATTTATTCGCTATCGTATCGTACAGAGACATTAATTGTTTTTCTTGTATCCGATTTTGGTTAAGTTTCAACAAGAAATGTTTCTAAAATCAGAAGTAAAAGTATTTTGCTTTTTAGTTTTCAAATAGAAAGTTTTTGTCATTTCAATGGTTTCATCTAAAACAAGTGAGAAATCACCCAGCAAGTTGAAACTGATTAAGAAGTTGACTTTGCTTTCTTTGATCGCGTTTATCGTATATATTCGGTTTCTAAGACATGTTTTTCAAGGAGAATTTGGAGATGTTGGCACACTACAATTCATTCCAATCCACCTGACTCTACAGTTCATAAAACCTTAGATGATAAGCCTTTCATTTATATTATCATCGTTAGAACGTAGTGTATGTACACAGTTTAAAGATTTTTACTTTTAATGTGTTTCAAAGAAATTAGGAAGAAGCCTTCAGTTCAAACTTATTCAGATTTTGCTTGTTTCGAACATTCAATGAGCTGTGACTAAAATTACAATTACATATTGTCTGTATTAAGAAGTGTTTTTACATATATACTTGTATACACACACACACCCATTTAACATAGTCACGTCGTTGCTAATGGTCAATAAATTGCATTTGTAGAGTGAGTTCGATCCTCGTTACTTGTGGCCTTGTGTCAGACCTAAGCTAGGCGCAGTAAATAATCATATATTCCATTGTACTGTGTACATATACACACAAATCACTCCATCTAATACGTATACACACGCACACAACTACACATCATATATATATATATATATATATATATATATATATATATAATATATGCACACGTGTGTGTGTGCGTGTATAATGTATGTATAATTACTGAAACACATGCACATATATGTGCACTTAACTATTAATCTATCTCCTATGTTATTAATTTCACAACACACACCCAGACAAGCAAGCAAGAGATCAGATAATAGATTATAGCAAACTGTTAGAAGTCAGTCTCGTAGGCCAATGCTCAAGTGTAGTGTGTTCAGTCCTTACTGGCTGCTCTAGTTCTGTGGCCTTATACCAAGCTAAATTTAACTTAGTAAATAAACAACTACATAGTATAAAATGAATTCACAACTACCTGTGAAATCTTAGTGTATGGATTCAACCAAATAACAAATATTTATGAGGAATGTTTCAGAACCGTTAATTCTCATCTTGAGCATTGGTTAGCCAATTTTCTGTGTCGATCATTTATAATGTATTGAGTTCGATCTATATTGAGTGTTAAACTTTTGTGGTGTTCTACTTATTTAATAACTAAAATCCTTGCCACTCCCGCAAAAAAGAATTTTGGTTATTTCAACTAAAAACACATCTCTAGAAAAGAAATAAATAAAAATAAACAAATAAGAACATTTAGACTCTAAACGAATTCGAGAAGCTCTTGTAATTGTAACAACGGAAAATTGAACATTTGAAATTGGAAACTGCTCTTCCATCGGATGAATTTGTTCAAATGTTAAAAATTACCTGGATGTATATTTATTGCAGGATGGTGATGGAAAAATTGACAATTAATCGAAAATATTGATAACAGAAGTGAAAGTTGTATTTTATTGAAGATCTTTTTCTTAGATCACCCACATTCATTTAAAAATCTAATCTTTACTTTGTATTTTAAGAACATTTTTAAAATTTGGTACGACTCTTTGGAGAACAAATGTTGTTTCGTTAAAAACCAGTGACAAAGAATATTTTTTGGGTGGATTTCTTCAGGGAAAAAAAATAGATGAAAAGAAGTAATTAAGTTGAGAAAATAGAATAATCAATTAGGAACAGTGTGGAAAAAAGGTAGTCGCTAAAATTTCTTTGATATTAAATTTTTAATGCCTTTTCATCCAATAGAAAATATCAAAAGTAATAATGAAATCTTACATACTATCGCTGTTCCTAAAAAAATACTTGATTATAGACGCTACAAGCCAGATTAAGCTAAATAAATATTTATACTGAATGCTTGGTATAGAGCAACTGTTTACAAGCTAATATTGGAGACCATTTTTTAGTGAAGTAGTTTCGATTCTTGCTGGGAGATCGATTATTTTGGCCTTTTGCCTGATTAAACTCGGCTAAATAAGTACCTATATTACGTCAACAAACACAAGCATATTTCTACATATACAAAATGTGATCCACCTTCCTCTCTCTCTCTCTCTCTCTCTCTCTCTCTATATATATATATATATATATATATATATATATATATATATATCTATCTGTCAGTCAGTGGGGTATTGAGAGAAAAGGTATTTAAGGCAAGCAGATTTGCTGATACACCTGACATCTACGAAACTCTGGACTCGGGATGCTGAAGGTAAGACCAATCAGCTAAGTGACAAACTTTATATTTGTATTATATACATATATATATATATGTGTGTGTGTGTGTGTGTGTGTGCGTGTGTGTGACAAGTGTTCTAAATTACTAATTAGTGAATAACCCTTTATATGTGTCTGTGTATTTTTGTCTTGATATACTCTCCGATATATGACAATTAGATTTATATCTAGTTGGCATTCACTCAATTCAAACATGGCAACTGTGTGACATTTTCAAGGCCCTGTATCTATTGGTATCCACAGTTGTCTGGTGAGAAATTTATCAATTCTGCTTGTGTCTACAACTTCTTACAGAAGTTAACCAAGCATTCACAGACCAAATACTTTGATTTTCTCATACATGTACGATTATATATATACTTTATAAACAAATTTTAAAATTCGTTATTTAAATGTTTAAATTGACAAAAAAGTCATGTAAATCTGTTATCGAGATATCTGATGTCTTGTAACTAAAGCAATGGTTAGTATAATCGTTTCGTAAACCAATTGTCTACTATAGCAGGTGTAATCCTCCCGATGTCCACTACTGTAGACATATGAAAAAACTATGAAAATCTTCATAACTTGTATAGTTCCTTTTTCACCTCTCTGCTCACACCAGCAATTAGGAAATGCTTCCGAATAACATTTCTCGCTACAAATGTTTATAATTGCAATTTGACTTTCAAGGCTGGCAGACCTCTTGATGCATATCATGTTTGATTTGTACGCCTAATTTTTGAATATTTTAAAAGCAAGGAAATATTTTCGGTGTACTCCAGAGAAAAATGTACACACATATTCTTATATGTTATTAATCTATAAATTTTGATGTTTGGAAACAGATTTTGATCGTTCGATAATTCTTTTAGAGTGTGTAATTATAGAAGACATTTAATCTTTGTTTTCTAGGTGTTTTTTTTTAAGTAACTGATAAAAATGTGTTTTTATTGATCAAAATAAGTAATTCTAAGTGAAATCAAGAATATTGATTGCAATGAATACTTTTATGACAACTTGTTTTCTCCATAACGTTTTCGCTTTTTCACTATGATAATTGCTTAATAACTTATCCAATCCAACATTTTTAAAAGAACAATAACACATGATAATTTTGTAAAATTGTTAAACGCAAATGTCAAAATGCTTAACAGAAAAAATTTAAAATTGATTTTTAACCAATTGACAGAAATAAAATCTCAAATTGTTATGGTATGTTTGCTCAGTTGACAGAAATTATCTGTTTTTAAAAGTATATTCATAAAATGGACGCTGAACTGAGATCTCGCACGCAAGAGGAGAGACTACAACGAGAACTCGAAGTGAAAATTTCTATTTTAGATAAGCAGAAAAGAGTTGTGTTCGAAGGACTAAACAGAGAACAACAAAAATGGCGGCGGCATTTCCTTCGTTATCAACTGCAGCTGGAGATGAACGCCGCCAGTAAACTTGGCGATATTAAAGGGCAAGAACTCTTCCACCAATTGTCGAAACTTTCACGAAATATTTCTCAAAAAGCTGAACATGAAATTGTGGCATTTTTGAAAAAAATGCGCGGAGCTGACGGGACGCAACGATTGAGGCGTTTGCGAGGATTTAAATTTGATAATAACTCCTTAATTAATAAAAAAGCTGGGTCTCGTTCATTACAACCATTATTATCTGTGCTGAACTGGACTGAAGCCGATCAAAATGGAGGCAAGAACAAATATCTTCGCTCAAATATTGGGAATAATTTGAACTGGACTGTCCCAAGTCAACCTGAATCAGATGATTACGTCAATACATGCGTCAATCAAACTCATGTGACATTGAGCGTCTGTGAATTTGGAGAATTTAATAATATTCCAATGAATTTATTGACATCGAAGAACGATGCTTCTAAGGAAAAGCAATTACCACCAGCCGACTTTTTACCAGCTGCAAAAGCTGAACACGCTCTTCAGATCCTCACTCCACCTTTGATTCATCCTTCCTCGTCTCAGTCAACGATACCGCACCCTTTACCACTTCTGCTTTCAACCCAATCCCGTTTGACTCATTCAGTACCCCAGAATAACATTGTGCTTGCAACACAAGAATTTCGAAAAATCCGCTCGCGTGACTATCCTCACCAACCCGATTACAGAACCGGAAATTAGCCATTAAATAAATTCGTAAGCGTGCTTGATGCCCTCTGGTGAAAACGAGACTGTCCATGTCCCTTGACAATTTGAGTTGAACTCGTGAAAAAAGATAACGAGTAGTTACCACCAAATTTTTAAAGTACTTGTAATTCCTAGTGTGGCGCAGTTGTTGTTGGAGGAAGACTCTATTCATTTCCAGAGAAGCCGAAGACTAACGCAGAATCACATACACATTTATTACAAAAACCAAATGCATATTAATTACAAGCAAGATGAATCTGCTCTAAGACATATTATAAAGAAATATACTACTCCTATTGACCCGGATAAAAAAATCAAACTTATTATCTATTATAAAAAATTTAAGACGGCCAACCTTATCCTCAAAAATAACAACACACCAACGAAGTCAAAATTACAAAGAGCGAACATTATCTATGAGTTCAATGCCCTTTAAGGAACTGCGTTCCTCACCAAACCGGACTCATAAATAATTACATCGGCTACACAACCACATGTTTATCCAGACGTCTTACATTACACCTATCTGATCACAGTTCCATCAGAACACATTTAAACACACACTCAGATTTACCCGACACTATTAGGAACATACTAGTAGAAAACACAAATATATTAACTGCATCCACTTGCAAAAAGAGACTAAAAAATAATGGAAGCTCTAATAATAAAAAAAGAAAAGCTAACTCTTAACAATATCAACTATGAACAAAGCCACAATGTGCTAACCGTATTCGGAAACTAAAACATCACTACCACACACTGAACATACATAGAACACACACTCTACTAAGCTGATAATTGAACCATCCTTGATAATGGCTAAAGGTATAGCCGAAAGCGCTCAAAACACAGAACATTCGGACAGTTCTTACACTCTTTTGTCCAGAAAAGAAAGCTCTTGTCAGAACACAAGAAAAATTAAATAAAAAGCTCAACTGTAGTACCTTGTCTGTCGTTTTTAATGAAACATGCATAAAGGAAGGATTGCTGCCTAAATATACAAATATATATATATATATATATATATATATATATATATATATATATATATATATATATGACTGAATATACCTAACTGGTAGAAACCGCGATAGCAGGAAGGTTGGTATTCTAAATATTTTATGTCTTGAATTGGTCTTTTTCATTAATTTAACCGTTTTCTTTTACAAATATTGTTTTTTTTTTTGTCAAATGTTTGAGTATTTTAATTGAATTATATATGTATATATGTATGTGTGTGTTTCCATAATATATGTGTGTGTGTGTTGGTGTCTGCTAGTAATTTTAGTAGAAAGGAATTAAGAAGAAAATTCGCTTTGGGTCCTAATCTCTAAACTCACAATTTGGCTTACTTTTCTTATTCATTTCTACTAATGTTGTCGCCCTGTCTGAATGATGGTGAGCGGTATTTTATTTAAACAGACGCTATGTTGCAGTCATTGATAACACTTCTGTGTAATTAATTGTACATTAGTATCGTTATATATATATGTATATATGCATGTATTTTGTGTATTTAGGCAGGAAATGTTCTTTAAGGAAAATTATTTTCACAACTCGCTTACGTGACACTTTGCTTACATCACAACAGTCTTTACCTACGTCACAACACTCATTACCTACGTCACAACACTCACGTTCTACAAAACTCACCAACTGTCTTTATCTATCCTGATGATGACTTAAGAAAGTCAAAAGCTTCGGCCATATTTCTTCTACTTTCCTTCCTAAATGAACTTCGGACAATTTCTGGTGGAATTTCCTCCTTGTCTGAGAAAGATTATTTGTAATTTGGAAAAGTCATTCATTAAAATTAATCGGTACAAAATGTCTGTCGTTATAAAATTATTTTAATATAATTTATTGTTATACGTTATTTATATAAAGAAATATTTAAGTAAATGCTCTGTTTATAATAAACACTATTAACAACATTTACTAGCCTAAATTGAATAATTGTCGGGCTTTGTCCATTTCGTAGTGTGTGACGTCATTTTTTTACGTTTAGATACACTTTGAGCAGATATGATCGTTCGAGGGAAATCATGGAAAATTGTAGTTTAAAAGCAATAAAATCGACCTTGCTAACCAGACACTCCTCTGGTATAGCATGACAGGCTATATGACTGTTCCGTTTACAATACAGGTTCGATTCCTGTCGGAGGACACATATTTTCTATGAAAATTTCTTGAACGTTCAGTCCGGTAAATGTTATTAATACTGTTATGTTTTTCACGTTCTAATGAACGTTAAAGCATAACTGCCAGCCGTAGCATTTAAACGCAAAAGGAAAAAATTCAGTAATGGATAGCTACGCATAGTTTTACCTTACCAGTTGCACCGCTGATGATGATCTCAGAAAGAGATGAAAAGTACTTGGGAAATAAATTACAGTGCATTTTTTGCCTTATTTAATTGTAATATATGGAAAAAATATTCGCAAGGATTATGATAAAAATAAGCAGACATAATTTTTATAATTTATTCAATCAAACATATATATATATATACTGAATACACACGCCTATGTTATGTTTATGGCTTTATTTTACTTGTATTTTATTTCTCTGAATTATATTTTGCAAAGTAGCTTTAATTAAATGAAAGTTTTGAATATGAATGTAGAAGTGAAACGGAAACTCGTGATACCGCAGATGGCGAGGTTCTAGACGTTAGTGTTTCCGTGGATAGTAAAGTCGTAATGCCTATATTAAATTTTAAAATATTAAATTTTATTTATGAGGAATATTATGTGAGTATTAAATTAATTGTAAAATGCTATTTTGCACTCAGTTACATTTTAACAACCATCGATTCAATAAGCAAGTCAAATTTGCGTCCCTTGAATACCTTCCTGTTGCAAAGAAATGATCATAAAAAGCAGTCCAGCTTTTTAAATCATTAAAAGTAAAAAGATATATCCAAGAAATCTAATTTGAATCGTATCGAGTAATGCTTGTGTTACCATAACAGTGAAATTACTATGAGGTGTGACCAAGTTTCGTGTGTGATAAATACATAAGATCATATCATATCATATCATATCATATATATATATATATATATGTATGTGTATGTGTGTGTGTGTGTGTGTGTAGAAATTCAGAAATAACTAACAATATATCTGTAAAAAAGACAATATCAATAAACACAAAATAAAATTATCTTAGCTGACGTCCTCTGATGGCTTTTATTAAGGCAAATGTAAGGATTTATTTTGCAATAAGTATTTATAAACAGAAGTGAAAATGCCATTAGATTTTCAGAATGTTTAAATTTAAGAGACGCTCATAAATCTACATCTACTATCGAAAGCAATTTTTATCCAATCTTAACAATATTAAATAACTGCAACTACGTTACAAACTGTTATATGATCAGAACCAATAATGTCCATAACAATAATAATTCTGAAGTAGTTTATTTCATATAAAATAAACTACCACAACTGTTCCTTACAACCTATTGAGGAAACTTGCAGAAATGTAAAACATGTATGTATGAACACATAAAGGATCTTATACACAATTTATAAAATGCCTTAGTCATACATAGAAACACATATATAGGAATATAAGCATAACTTCGATCTAAAGAATGACACAATTATTAAAAGAGAAAGTAACTTACTAAGACGAAGATTTATTGAGAGTGCCGCTTTCGAATCTTTCTAAAATATAAATCTGCCAGCCGAATTTTTTCAAATATCTCCTTTCCTGAAAGAAATACATCTTTCCCAAGTCAACATATACATGACTATAAACATTTTTAAAAGTAAAAGAAAAAGGTTACATTCAAAACCTCCTACTATTTAAAATATATAATAATAAATTAATTTCAGACAAAATATTATAACTAATAAATACATTAAAAAATCAATAAAAAAATTTACTCACTTTTGTTTATTAAACATTAAGTTACATCACTTAGCATCTTCCATAATTTACATTGAGTTTCAGTTAGCCTGATGTATATTTTTGAAGGTTCTTAAATTTAAAAACTCTTTTTTACTTCTGCGTATAAATACTTGTTGCAAAATGAAATCGTCACATTTGCCTTGATAATGTGGCTCCGGGGTATGGCTCCGGGGCCAACAGTCTAACTCTCTGCTTTCGAGCGGAGAGGAACCCGGACGAGTCTCGTTCGGGGTGGTTGACTGCTCCTGAACCCGTTTATGCGGGTTCAAAGAGGAAATATTTTTGGCCGAGCCTACGGGCTCGGAAATCCCACGTTAAACCCGGCCTTGTGCCATATGTAACGCTCGTGGGGGGTAGCTAAATATCATTTGCCTTGATAAAGCTCATCGGAAGACGAAACATCGGCTAAGACAAATTATTACTTTATCTTTATTCATATATATATATATATATGTGTGTGTGTGTGTGTGTGTGTACGTGCGTGCGTGTATATCAATTCAAATATAATTAAAAAATATATCTGTAAAAACACAAAATTAAAACTTAGCCGATGTTTTGTGCAGAGTATTTTAACCATAGATCTACTAGCGCACCCGCTGTCTCGGTTTAACTTCCTGCAATTTCTGTCTTTAAACCTAAAAAAAAAAAAAAATTGAGAATTGGTGCTTGCATAATTTAATAAAACATGTTATTTTCTTTCAGATTCGACAGAAAAAAAATCTAAACTTAATATCTATTAAAAAAACTTGTAATTTTTCAGTGAAATTTTGAATTAATCACGTTGCTGTTCGCCACAAGAGTTTATTTTATTTAATAAGGACATGTTTGAGCATTTTAAAAAAAAATGTAAAGTTTAATTTTATTTTCTAGTGTGAAACTTTTTTAAAAGAATTTTATTTTTTCCTTTTAGCAACTTTTAGATTATTTTTGGTATGGATGTATAAAACGGAAAATAATTCTGATGTCTTTTGTTGACTGGCTACTATTTAATATCGAGTGTGTATTATGATATTAATTTAATTTCATATCTTTCAGCATAAAATTAAATTATTCATTATATTTAATAAAAGCGT